TGTATGTATGTATGTATGTATGTATGTATGTATGTATGTATGTATGTATGTATGTATGTATGTATGTATGTATGTATGTATGTATGTATGTATTACTAATGTCTAATAGTAAAATGAATTAATTTACCTAAAAGTAATATAAAAAAATATAACATGAAATATACTTGGTGACATTATCAACTTATTTATAATAGAATTATTTGAATTCACTTTTTATTTTAGGAAAATTAAATTTGAAATATTTAGGAAAAGTGCAAAATGATACCTTTGTTCCTCGTAAAAAAAATCAGATGTGTCTTCCTTGCTTTCCGGCTTCCACACAATTACGTAATTATTTATAATAATTTATTATTGAATTTTAATTTAATCCATCCGTTACAGTGACCTACTCAATAACAAGATATAAATTATATCATATAATCCACACCTCTTCCACGAACGTGACTTTCACGGTTTGACGGTTATTATTTCAAATTTGTATGAACTATGAACAGCCAGCTTCCAGCCACGGCCCACCGGAAAAAGTCTCAATACCTCGCCACCAAAGTCTGTCATGGCGTAATTGAATTATTTATTTCAAGAAAATGTTATATTTAATGAGCAATCTTTTTATGTTAATTTTATGAGCAGTCAATATGTTGAGCTTCATTGGTGGAATCAGTGGAGGTAAATAGCGTCAAAGAACAAATAACTTTTTTCTTACGACCATCTGGCCATGGTCAACTCCATAGTCTACGGTCCAATATATTGTTAATTGTTATCCTTATCTACCTATATCTTAAATCTCAGTGATTGTTTTATGGCTACATGTGGCTTAACTACGTGTTTACCTATCTAAATTTGTGGCTGTCAAAGTAATAGATAGTAACGTTAATTAAAAATATAAAAATATTGTATTGAATCCACCTTGAATGATAATATATTATATTATTATTATTATCAGATTGCGGATGTGCGTAGTGTGTATAGTGTGTGGCACTCCTACAGTCCTACTTATCGTTATCATCAATAATTTCGGATGGTGAAATGTAAATGTGCTGACTCAAAGAGAAAGTAGTTATAGGTACTGAATAGTTACTACTTATTATTTTATTAGCATTTTTGGGAAAAAATACAAAATCTTCTCTCATTCTTTTAGGAATAAATGCATAATATGATGATAGACATTTCGATGCGACGTACATCATAGTTTTAGATCATTATTATTATTATAGGTGTTTTAGATGTTAACGTTAATAAAATAAAAATTCAAACGTTGTTCTTATTTATATCAATATTTATAAGGTAAATAGGCTTCAATAACTTAACGAAAAATTATCTTCAAAGTATACTTCCTCTAAATAAAAACCATTGTCATTGCTGATTAACAAACATATTTGGTAAGTAAATAACTTACCTATTGGCTTAATACCTATTTATATGGTATCTATTAAGTTATTGTATACCTACAATTAAAAATAATAATTGAAATTAAATTTTTAATATATACTAGAAAATACAATTTAAAGTAATTGACTATATTTTTCATATCTAAATAAAAATGTTTGTCATAACTTTCATTTAATATTTAATTAATTAATAATATCGTATCCCTGGAGAATACTGAATAATACTTAGAATTTGTTTATAGTTTTAATACTATTGCAAAATTTAACTAGTTTTGTTAGAATTGTTACTATGTTTTGTCACAAGAAAAGATAATTAAAAAACTACTCTTGACAAAAATGAATAATGCAAATAGTGATTTAAATATGTATATGTAAAATAGAATCCCAAATATTTTTGGGTAATGCAATCTATTCTATATGACTATATTTTAACATTTATGTTATTATGTTACGTTTATTTAAACTATACATTTGAACAAGTATTTTAAGATTAAAAAAAAAAAAAAAAAAAGGATAACATTGTGTATCACTATAAGTAGTAATTATGAATAATGATATTTATGAATTGAGCAATAAGTTAATAATGTGGTTTTGTTATGATTGTTTGAGTTTGTAAGACATTGTAATGTTTTTACTAAGGCTATATACTTTTGGTTTCTATGTAAATTAAAAAAAAAAAAATAATAATAATAAATTATTATTTATTATAATAGCATGATAAAATATACATATGTGTATTAATATATATATATATATAATATTGGTGAAAATTGACAATCACTGTAGAGGTCATTGTGTGGCTATAGAATTAGATACCCATTGTTAAATTATTGAACATTACCTTGTATAGACAACTTATCTATATTATATTTTATATATAAATATTATTATAGATATTATTAATGGCCTTCATACTATTTAGTCTTAAAAAGATAGTATCGATTCTACCAATATTATTTTTAGTCTATTATACTCAATCATAGCAGTAATAGTTCACAGTCCTCCTAAAGTTGTAATTTAACATAAAGTATTTTTAAATACAATTTTGCTTTATTTATAAAGTTTATTTGTTTAGTTTTTTAAGATGGCTCAAGGACCAACTTTAGTTTGTAGACTTTTGGCTTCATCAGTATCTGTTGCTCATAAAGCAGGTAAGATAATTCGTGATGTTATGCAAAAAGGAGATTTGGGAATAATTGAAAAGGTAAATAATGATTTTATAATTTATTAATTATTTTGATGCTTTAATTGTAACTCTTATTGGTTTATGTTTAGGGTGAAAATGATTTGCAAACTGAAGCTGATAGATCTGCACAACGCTGTATAGTTGCATCTTTCAAAAATCTGTATCCAAATGTGAATATTGTGGCAGAAGAAGTTGATAAAATTAGTCAGAATTTAGATGTTCCTGCAGATTGGCTAATTACTGATCTTGATCCTAAAATATTAGATTTAGAATGTCCAAAATCATTACAAGATGTTACAGAAGATCAAGTTAGTGTAGTTGATTATTTTATTTATACTAAGTAGCAAGTAATTAAAAAAATAAGTTTTAAGATTTGAAATATTAATATTTTAAATTTTGTAATTTTCCGTTAAATATCAGTATAATTTAATATATTACACTATTATACTATAAAAAAAAAATATATAATTACTATAAAACTTTCCTAATAAATGCCAATCATAGGTACTTCATTATTTGGGTAACAATTTTACAGTTTTATACTTCTAATAATCTATTAGCTAATTGTAATACCAACAAATATTATTTAAGAAAATTCTTATTTTTAAATTTTAATGTTTAGGTAACAATTTGGATTGATCCATTAGATGGAACATCAGAATTTACAAAAGGTAGATCATCATATGATTATATTGTTTTTTATTTGTTGGAATATTGGCTTAAAAAAGTTTATATTTTATAGGTTTAATTGATCATGTTACTATATTAATTGGAGTATGTGTCAATGATGAAGCTGTGGCTGGAGTAATATATCAACCATTTTGGCAAAACCATGGTCGAGCTCTTTGGGGTTTGGTTGGCAGTGGAATAGGCGGGTTTGAGTTAAAAGAACCCCCTCAAACAAAAAAAGTATATGTAACAACAAGGAGTCACTATGATAAGGCAATAGAAAAATTTATTGATGGCTTAAAGCCTTGTGAAATTATACGAGTTGGTGGTGCTGGAAATAAGGTATAATGATACAACTTATTGAATATTATAAGTTTTAATAATGAAATATGTATTTGTGTTTGAAAAAAAATATCATATAGGTACTTTATATATTGGAAGGCAAAGCACATGCTTATGTTTATCCTAGTGCTGGTTGCAAACGATGGGATACAGCAGCACCAGAGGCAGTGTTAAGAGCAGCTGGAGGTGAATTAACAGATGTATATGGAAATAAATACAGTTATAGCAAGGAAAATGAAAAAGACCCTTTGAATAAATATGGAGTATTTGCCACAGCTCCTTCTTTTAATCATACTGAGTTCATGAAACTTATTTGCGACATTCAATCAAAAAACTTAAACAATGATTAGTTTTCTATTGAATAATATCAAAGTATCTGCAATGAGTATCATGTGTTCTAATTCAGTTATAGGTAATTATTTAATTTCATGTGATTTAAACTAAAGTGTAGTTTAAAAAAAATATAAATTTAACGGTTAATAATAAAATATATTAAATAAAATACACTCCTATAAAACATCAGGTATACTTAACTTATAATACTTTTATTACTTTTGAGTAAATAAGTTCTATTTAAAAACTAATTTGCATACTGATTTTTTGACACATGTACTCTTACAATAATTGTAAAATAGCTTATACTATAATATTTGCTTTATATATTATGAATATATGTATTGCTTTTGTTTTATTAAATATTATACATCATTATTTTAAATTTTAATATTATTTATTTGGTAAAAAGTTCAAAATATTGTAGTATTTCTAGCAGTATTATTATGTTTTCAAGTGTTTTAAACTGGTATGTTGAAACTATTTTATAAATAAATATTATATATACATTTTGCTGTAAAAAATTAAAACTACTCAGAATGGCAGAATGTCAGAATCTCACAAAGTTTAAAATTTGGTGTCTCTTTTATTATAATACTTTATAAATTTAGAGGATTAAATATTTAAAATTAGATGGCTCATAAGTTTCTGGGATCAAATATTGTATTTTATGTTATTTCTCATATTATAAGCCGTTTAGTATATTAAAGATTTATAGCAACAACGACAATAATTTGTTTATGATAACATAAACATTAAATTGTAGTTATAAAGTCACCTTTGTGTATAATAAAAGCCTTTGATAGTGTAAATACATTATTATAAGTTTCATCACTTTGATTTGATTTCAAAGGTAAAATATACGATTTATTAGTTATAACTATCCTATTTAATTAATAAAATAAAATAAAATTAGCTAAAATAAATAACCTCAATCTAAGTGGAATTACATTTATTTCCATGATAGCTATGATTATAAATAATAAATATATTACTATGTTAAACCAATTAGTATTAAGAATTTATATTCCAAAAATGTATTATTATAAGTTTATAAATATAGAAATAATTTTTCTTATATTTCTTACATCCATAACATCTGTTTCAAGGTAAATAAAATTTACCAATTAACAAATCTATGTTATTAATGTTTGTATTTCTATTTTTGATAAGCATTTTGCCTTAAAAACCTCTATAAAAATAAAATTATGTAGAATTCTCTAGATATATTTATTTTACAAATTTAATTCACTTAAATTATACATTATAAACTTTACCTGAAAACAATTGATTTTTGATTGGCCAGTTTGTTCTCATATTATTTAATATAATGAAAACCTGATTCTAAAGTGGTCTGTGTGAGTTTACCCTAATTGTTTAGCTTGCAGAATTTCTTTTATGCTTTATATAGCTGTGGCACCCAATAGGAACACAAATACAAAATTAACATTATTACAGTAATAGTAATTGATGACAATTTAAGTAATCACAACATTTTTGATTATCAATAGCATTTTTTTTTTTTTTTTTTTGAATTAACAGAAAACAACGAAATAGATTTTATCAAAAATTAGTGTTGTGTAAATATTTCTATTTTTCTTTAATTCTTTTTAACCAATTACTGAATTCTTAGTTTTTGATCTTTTTAAGACTAAAGTACCACCTAGAAATCTAATGACAACCTAATATTTAACTCTAGAAATCATCCTCAAAATTGTACATTGAAAAATTTAAATACTCTAAAAAAATGATGTTAAAAAAAAGAAACAATAATAAATTATTGTAAAACCAATAATACATTCATTGCTTGGCACATAATAGAAAAGCATTAATGCTATAAATTATAATGCATTGTGTAAAACTTGTATAAAAAAAAATTTGTTGTTAGTCTTAATTTTAGAAGTATAGGTGACAACAACTTGCATATAACTTGGTCAAAAATAATATTTTGTTTCTGAAACGTAATAATTTATTAATAATAAATATATGATTTTTAATATTTTTGAAACTTTGGAATTGTAATATTATTTTTAATTGAATTAATAAAATAATTATATTATTATGTTAACCTATTTATATTTATATGGATAACAGTGTAAGAGCATTTTACTTTTGTAATCATCTGCTGTCTACTATTTTCTATCAGTTAAAAAATATTAACAACCAAACGATCATAAAGACATGAATAAAATATTGTATTAATTATTCATATTTATTTTATTCATTTTATCTATTATTCATCAAACCAGCAAAAATAAAATAAAATCAATAAGTTTAAATAAAGTTTTACATTTTATAATATCATTGTAACTTCATATTATTTGTATTTTTTCACTTGGTCAATTTTTACACGACAATATCATAACATAGTTGTTAATAGAAAAAAATGACTACATGAAAAAAAAAAATTAAAATATTACTTAGTACATACATTTAAAATTAAAAAAAAAAAATGTAAAAAATTGTACTTGATTACTTTTTGTATGATAATTTAAAAAACACCTATAAGAATTTTTTTCAAACATAAAATTCTATTATTTTAGTTTAGAAAATTATGATTTACAGTTATAAGATTATTTAATATTGGTTAAAAAATTATTATTGATTATCAAAAATGTAAAATTTATTTTTATTTTATTCACAAAACCATACTGTATAATCATATTAATAAAAACAATAATATAATAAAATAATATATTGAATAAACATACAAATAAACATACAAATAAATAATAAATAACAAGCAGTGCTTATATTATAATATGTTAAGCATGTATCACAGCTTACTGACAGAAGATGGATTATCTATTTAATTTTTGTCTTTGCAGCCAATACGTTTTAACACATAATCTACCTGTTAATATAAATATATTTTTTGATAAAACGAATAAAAAAATGATTTATTTTTAAAATTATATATTTACATCAACAAAAACATAACTGAAACTTGGGTTAAATGCAACAAAACGATTGAAAGCAGACATTGAACTAGCCGGGCTGATGGCGTGAAGATGCATATGTCCTATTGAATAAAATGGAGGCCAATGAAAACCCATTCTAACAAAACAACAAGGCGTAAAAAAATGAATACAATTATAAATATGACATATGATTTTGAATACCTTATGTCATTTAAATCACAACCATTGTTTAATAATATTTGTTTTGCAGCTGCAACCATGCTCTTGACTAATGTAAATATACAAAAATATTATGCAAATTAAACAAAGTAGGTAATTAATATGGATTAATATTTTTTTTGCTTACGTAAATTACAATCTTGTTCATTAGGTTGTAAACTTTTAGAACTTTTTATATGTTTGTCACTCAACACTAAGAAATGGTGAGTAGCCACTGGCTTTATGTCTTTAATGATTACAAATTGATCGCTCTGTAACATTATTCATTCCATAAAAATATATTTAATAAGTTTTCATCAAGTTTTTGGATTGTAATTTAATGAATGTTAAACTGATATAATATTGTAAGGTTTGACCAACTTAAAGTTTTTGAAAAGTGGTAAGTTAATGCAATAATAACAAGAATTTTAATTAAATAAATTGACTTCAAATTACTCCAATCCAATCTATCATCGGTTGTCAGTGATAACAAGTAAGTATTACATTAAATACCTATTTAAATGTATAGTAATTTAAGTAATTTAAGATACGCAACTTATAGAATAATAAATAGTTATAAAATAATTTCATAAAGTGATAGTTATAAATATAAAACAATTTTTACTCGAGGCTCAAGAATAATATTTGGGTCGTTGGCAGCAATTAAATTACAAAATATACAGTTTTTAACTCGTATCTTGGTTGTTTCCGCGATATTCATATTAACCAGAGATTCTTCAGTCATAATTAGTAATTAAAATTAATTAGGCACACAAATGCTTAAATTCACAATATTTAAAAAAGAGAAAACAAAAGAATTTTAATGTGTTCCTACTTCAATTTTGACATGAATTCCAATACTTAGTAGTTAGTACTTATATGCTCTTATCATATTAAACTGCTATCTACAAAAAAATCATTAAAAAAATGATAATGATAAGATTCGTGAATGATATAAATTATAACTATCTGGTGTATAAGATAATATATAGTATACACCTTGGTTATAAATTATAACTTATAATAGGTATTACTTTAAGTAGGTATCTATAACAATTTGGATTGTATTTAAAATTTTCACGAGTAACCTAATAATAATAATAATAATTTTCTGTCTAATTCAACCCAAATGTATACGTCTAATTAAAATAGATAGCTATATTTTATTAATGTCAACATTTTTTCTATCTATCACATATTAAGCTTCACTGAATTTGGGTTATATTTTGGATGTAGACACCTTGAAAAAACTCAGAACGCAATCAGTAGGTATTCATATTATTATTTTCCTTATTTATATTATTTTAGGCATTTTGAGTAAAATACCTCAAATGTAGATACCTACCTAGTCGCTAGTAGGTACATCATCATTGAAGATTTTCAAGTCATATCAATCATCTTATACCATCTTATACATTATTGTTATTAACATTTGGGTCAATTTACTACTTTACCGTAAAGTATCGTGAATTCTGACTGAATAAGTTCATAGTGTAAATAAAAAATAGATAATATCCTAAGATAAATATACATATTTTAAAAATAAGATTACGTACAGTAAAATTTTTAATATATTAAAAAAGTTTTTAATCCTCGTGAATAATATTTTTGAATTATAACAAAATTATTAATATCGTTACTCATTGTTTAAATATATACGAGTAACTTCATTAAAATTAGAATTTGAATTGTCTATAAAAATAATTGCGTTTATATGTTGTTTAAATAATTTGGTTCCAGTATGAACTATTTATGAGAAATCTTTTACACATTTTTAAATCTTAGATAAAAAAGAAAATAATTTATAAATTTCCAACTATAAAATAGTTGGTCAATTTCTAATATTAAATACACATAATATAAGAAAAACATATGCGTGAACTTTTTAACCAAGTGAACATTTTTTATCAACATTAAAATTAATCAAAAATTTCAATTGTTTAAAAATATTTTTAAAATTATATCAGTATAGTATAAATATTAATATAATTAATATAAATACTTGGTGGAGTATTAAAATGTCTACACTTATTCGTTTTAATATTATAACTAAATATTATTAGAAAAATGTTGTAACGTAGTTTAGCATAAAATTTTCATTTTTTATTAATTTTTTCTTTTATTTCCCAATAGTTTGTATAAAAAATTAGGTACTGCAAAACTTTTATATTTGAGTCCTATAAAGTACAAACTAGATTCGATTTGCTATTAGAAACCACTCTTTAAGTTGAAAATTAAAGCATTTTTACTGCTCAAAAAGAGGTAAAAGACACAAAAAAAAAAAAAAAAACCCAAATCATTTTTAAAAATTTTAAATTAATACATTCATTGCTTCTCTCAGAATTTAAGGATTCATAAATCAAGTGGATCTAATTCTTCCCTATGATACGTTCTACAAAAACTGGGCCAGTAATTAAAATATATTATTTTATACATGAAGGTATTTAATATTAAATTTATCACTAGTATTTGTTGTTACAATCAGAATTATTTTTAGGTCATTTCAATTAGCAGCTTATCTTGAATATGATACACGATTTATGATTTATCTCAGAAAACTAGAACACCGAATCAGTTAAAAAAGTATTGTAAGTGTTTTTATATTAAAATAAATTAAAGTTAACATGACGTAATACCCTTGAAATTATTCGTGTAATCCAATATAAATTTCTCTTTAATAAGAAAACCGGTATATAAAATAAAGAAATTTATTTTTGATATCAGCGTAATCCCCTCTTTTTCTATTCTTCATTTACTTCATACATTAAATAATAAAAATATATGCGGAATATTGTCCATGGAGGGGATATTGCCGTTTTGAATGACAAGTAGAAAAAAATTCTTGATAGACCGGTATATACCGAACTCCGATAATCGATATAAAGTAAAAGATTTTGATATTATTTGCACGTTTACCAGGTTAAACGAATTTCTAGACTCATAGTAGGTATCTACTTATAGTGTAAACAAATGGTGTTCAGTGTTATATTAAATATAATCATTTATAACTACATGGATAATTTAAACAATTTTTGCAAAGCCTGCAATAAAATCAAGTTATAAATTTTAAAGTATGAAAAAAATAAAATTATAAATGTTTGTAGTTTTATTTTAAACATGCAATATATTTTGCGAAAATTGCAGAAAAGTTTCATTCATAACATTAAATAACATCAAATCAAAAATTTAAATTATAATATATTATTCTAATACAATGATTTGTATAACTCGTTTGTAAATTTGTGTATAATTTGTTTTACATGTGTGAATAATAATGCTGTGTTATATTACATCTAACTAGATCGAACTAGGTACTACCTATACTATTTCTACTTAATTATTTATATTTATTATTTATAATAATAATAGTAATATGTAGATGAGTTTTAAATTTATAAAAATTGTAGAAACCACTAACTAGTCCTAACCAATTATCAACACTTTTGAAATTTATGATTTTAAAGTCTAAATATATATATACATATATTGGTTTATTGAGCTTAAGACTCGGTGCCATCAACAGCCGGCGGAAATCGATATAATAATAGGTGAAATTGATATACGCCCTAGTGACCTAGGGTACAAATTTGATAAAAGCTTTTTGGAATTTAATAGTGTATTAAATGTTTAAGTATTATAGATATACATAATATACGTATTCAAATTTATAGAATTGTTGAAAACTTTTAAAAATAGAATATAAAAATTAAACGTTATTGCGTTACATTAATGTTAGAAGTTTATTTTGGAATTATTATTCTAATTATTTTACAATTATGTAGGTTATAAGTTACATGAATTCACTACATATTGTGTTTGCATTTTTATATTGTATTATTATTATATAATATAATATAAATAAATAAAGGTAGTCGCTAATTGTACACAAATTTATATAAATGGTTCCTATATGATATTATAAAATAAAAATATGACTACGAATTATGAGCATAACTCAAACGTTTAAACCTATTCACAAGTACGTAGGGAATGCAAAGTATGTAGCTGCTTTATATCCTGCCAATTGATGTTCCCCTCACCTCTTTTTAAATTCAATCCCTAACACGATTTTAAATAAAGTTTAGAATATTAAAATATATAATATAATGTATAAGTATTATAGTTATTTATTGGCAAAAATGTGCAGTCTACTTATTCAACTTGTAGATAGATATCGGATGGCTTGGTAATCTAAACAAATTTTATTGCCGAGAATACTTATGATAGCAAATCTAGAACAACAGAGAAATTTCTTTAAACATTTTAATTTCAACGATGTTAATAAACGTCACCATTTGTTTGTACACAAATGTAAAGTTTGTATAATTTATTGCTTAAAACTATTATAGTAATTATTTTTACAGTTGTATTCATAAACATAATTTTTTAATTTTGTAACATTTAAAATAATAATAATAATAAAACTACTAACTAGTAATGTAATTATGCATTATTATATAATTATCTATTACTAAAAAATGATATTATAGTCGCCACAATTAATTGCACATAAATATTAATTGGTGACAGATTATATTTTAGATATATAATAATATAATGTATAAAATATCACGCAAATATGCCCAAAACACGTAATTTAAATTAATATTTCTTTTGTTGCTAAGTTTTATTATTTTTATATCAAATTATAATGATATTATCACTTAGTAATTTTTCGTAAAATGAAAATTCTAATTTTATTTTTTGAATCTGTACAATATAAAACTATTTCATATAAAAATAAATGAGCCTTGGGATCCTTAATCAGAATTTTTTGAATATTTATTTAAAGCTTTAATACTCCAAAGGGTTATGAGTATAGTTATAGAGTAGTTAATATAAATAATAATTTATAATAGCAGCCAGCAGGTAATTTTTATTTTCGTCTGACGTTTAAAAATATATATACCTATTCCATTATAATACTATCTAGCATTCAATACAGCTGTCGAGCCAGCCCGGTGATTTTTTTGTAGGTACTTAATTCATGTTTTTGTCTCCGACTCCCGCCAACGACCAACCATGTCGTCGTTTTATACATAACGGAAAATGTAACCGCTGCCAAAAACGTTCAAATGCGTAACAGCGTAAACCTAATCTATTGGCATATTGTGTTACTTATAAATATTTTTTATTTTTTTTTCGTCTCCAAACCAAGAACAAATACACCCACGGAAACCGTGTCAAATTGCTGTTTTTATTATCTACGAAAACACCGTCCGATAAATACCTACGTGATGGTAGTTAAATAATATTAACTGTCTCATAATATCCTTTACTATAATATCATGTACCAACATAAATAATATAATAAATAATAATAATCGGTGTTATGATAACGATGAAATTACGAAAACGGTAGTAGACCAGCGCCGGGGACAGATTGCGATAACGACTGCATATTTTCGTATAAACCTTATTATGACGTATAAGACGTATTAAGTTAGTAGTAGCTTGACACAGTAGCAAATATTTTATCATTAGTGTCTACAAGGTAGGTTGACAATATAATAAACTTTATTGCGTGCCACCAATTGTATATTAAATATTTAGTATATTTATTGTTATTCTGGACTCCGATAACCAGTGCGCGGTGTGGCCCACGACTTCGGGACGGAGGAGTGACAGAGGCACATAATACATCAGCAATCTAATACAATATCTGTACGTAATATTATATTCTACAATGAAAAAAAAATGAAAAAAAAAGACATTGAAAATTACATTTTTTATACAACATTTTAATATTATAAAACGTAATTTAATAAAGTAATAGAAACTCATTAGTCGTAATGTAAAAACTGTGAAATATTATGCGTTTTCGTTATCATAATAATTGTATTATCATTTCCGTCCGGCAGGTACCAATAACAACAATGAAATAAATTCTATTTCGTAAATAATAAAACAACGACGATGACCGTAGCGGGGTCGCGTCAGCCGTCGGTGGCAAGCCGTCTCACTACTACTACTACTACTATTACCACTACTACTTTTACTACTACTACTACTACTACTACTACTACTATTACTATTACTACTACTACTACTACTACTACTACTACTACTACTACTACTACTA